TTTTTTTTTTTTTTTTTTTTTTTTTTTTACAGTCACGAGACTTTGAATGTCCTTCTTTTGGTCTTCTCAAGTATTTAATTATCAATTTGTACCTAAATGTTCTTTCGCAACTTCGCAAAAACGAGAAAACGTCGCTATTTCGCAGACGACCTCCAGCCAATGCACGCCAATGGCTGACAGTACACGAGTAGCTCAGCCATTCAAAATACAGCATTGATTTGCATTAGCATACAAGTGGAATTCTACTAATAGAGGATAGCCGCTTAGGACGAGTGCACTAAAACAAAACAGTCCCAGTGCTAGCATCCACCGGGTTCTCGCAGCTTTCTAGCATTCTCCAATAACACTTTAACTCGTCGCCTGACTCGTCAATGCAACGTGCACGCAATCATGTTATCATCCGTGATAAACAGAAGACAACTGATACTCCTGGGTCAAGCCATTTACTTTAAAAATGATATACTAGCTGTTAGAAAAGAAAGATTTTTATTTCTTGGGGAGAACAAACCCACTCAAACAGTGTCAATCAGCTCTTACCTTTGAAGAGAAAACTGTATCGCCACGAATGAAATAAGAATTCTATTGTTGTGAGATGATCCTAAAAGCGATTGTATAAGGAGATAAACTGAGTGTGTTCCATCGCAGATTAGTATGGAAGGTGGTTTTACATCTGAGATTACCAGCAAGAACCCCAGACGAACAAGTTACACAACCTGTCTTAAGGTAAAAAATTAGACATCTGGGCCTCTTGCTCGCAAGCGAACATCTGGCAACCAATTACAAGTATTTCTTTTACGGAAAAATTGGATTGGGAACTTGCGAATAAGTAAATAATTTGATATATTCACCTACTTCATGTCTAGAGCTTAGTGTGAAGTAAGGTAAGATAACTTAATTTACGGTCGTAAACATGGGGAGTGGTTGCCCAATCTCCCGAGCCAGGGGCTTATGATAAAAACACAACATTACTACTTACAATTACTATATACATTAAGAAAAGAGAAAAATTCGCTCAGATGAATCCAGAATGGTGTAATAATAGAACAGAGCTCTACCAAAGAAACACCCACGTGTACTTTGTGCATCAACTCAACATGCATTTCAGTCACATTGCGTTGACGACAGTGCGAAACTGAACAATATTTTAGCGTTTTATTTCACTCCAGGAAAACTCCAGATGACTAATACAAACAATGTCTTCGAAATTCTTTAACTAATCACAATTCGTCACCTAGACTGGGAGCTGCCGCTTTTTTTCTGGAAAATCAGTGTGCAATTAAAATGTAATTTGTTCGGCGTAAAACAGCAAAATCGTCAAATAGCTTGGGCTCGGTGCGAACGCGAGGGGCACCAAACCCACGCATGCGCGCTTCTCGCGCGGCCTCAAGGGCAGTTCCGCTGTTCACAGACCCCCGGGCATTTTTCAATTTTACTGTACGCAGAGTTAAGAGTTGCGCAGATGCAGACTGGGGAAACGGCAATCTCGTCCCCAAAGCCTCCGCTTCTTTTGGGGACTGGGGACGAGAATGGAGTGACGTGGATTCATTGATCTTTTCACTACCCCAACAGATGATATTGAACATTGAATTTCTAGCCTGCGTGGCCGGCGTTCAAAGGAGAGAGAGAAGGGAAAAGTTTGACCACCGGTCATGCAGGCTATTGAATTTCATGCATGCGTAGGTAAGTGTGGAAAATAACCCAGCTCAGCATCTCCAACGATTGGTTAAGTCTGCATACGAGCCAAGTGGCCCATCAGGCCAGCGCTTTTCTCCGGTTTTTGTAGCATGAAGCAACTAGGAGTATTTCTACTCCCCCCTGGATGGGATGCCAGTCCATCACAGGCTACCCCCAGCTACGCCGGTACCCATTTATACACCTGGTTGGAGAGAAGCACTGTGAGAGTAAAGTGTCTTGCCCAAGAACACAACACAATGTCCCTGGCCAGGCACAAGTTAACTCGGAAATGGCCAATTATCTTTTGGTTTCAGGGCGTTGACATAAGTAATAAGTGTAGAGCCGATCATAATTTATTAATAAATGGTTGTTCAGTAGGTTGCTGGGCTAGTTTTAAGCCCCTAAAGAGTAAAATGTTCAAAATATGCTCTTTTCAGCTAGTTGTGCTGATTAACAAAACTGCAAAAAGCTCATTTTTGCTAGCAAAATCTGCAAGGCTGCCAAGAACATTACAACTTCTGTGACGTCATTGGTTTAAAATAGGTACGCTGTTTAAGGGGTTTCTGTTTCAATTTAGCATGCTTTTACAATACCACCTCTCTATTCTAACAGATCCACAAAAACTACAATACAGTAATAATTTGTCAATTTCTGACAACGGCCACTTTCGCTTAGTCCGCCGAACGTAAACCTAGCCGCGAGAAAAAAAAATAACCCTACGCAGGATTTCGCGCGGTCATTGTTTTCCTTGCCGTTTTCTTTTGCGTCACGCACGGCGAGCTAAGCGAAAGCGGAAGTACTCGTAGTAATCACTGACAGTCCCCATTGAACTTTTACTTATTCATGCAAGCGGTATGGCCAAGAAAACAGTGATTCCGCTACTGCAGATCACTTTTCTTCTAAGTATCCGCCAAACCACCACTGGGTTGTAGAATAGTCATATTGAGAACAACTGAATTCAGAGCTCATTCCATCTCCATAGTAACCGAAGTAGTCAACTCTTGGGTCTGCTAAGGGAAGAAATTCACAGCCAGTATCAGAGCTGTCGATGTGAAGAAAGTAGCTGCCAGAAGACTGCCAAAATCCAACTGTAGTGCCACTTCCACTAACATTTCCAAGAATGTTTACAAACTCTACAGTTTGGCAATCCGATCCACCACCTTCATAATAGATGATGTCGAAGTCGCTGAATTTCCCCCTGAGGAAATCTTGGTAATCGATTATTGACGGGTTTTGTCGGACGTTGCAGGTAGCGCGCCAATGGGTGGAGTGTTCCCCGATGCTGTTCATTCGCCCTAAAGTCTGGCGGTAGATCCGAAAGTTTGGACTGTCCTCGTTGATGGGAGCATCTTCAAAAAATGCCCTGTTTTTAAAATAAGGCAATTCCTTGTATTTCGCAGTCATCCAGGATATGACTAGAGTCCAAGCTGAGCCCGCTCGCTTGAGAGGTCACAAAACACCGTGTAAAGCTGGCCGTCGTCGTCGCAAAGCAGGTAGAAGCCGCTTTGAAGGATGCCTTGCTGAAGGTAGTCCAAACAAGATCGGGGGAGGTATCCTTCCATTGTCGAGTTTGTGCTATTAAGAGACTGAAATTAAGAAACGACAAGATGATGGGCAAAACAAACAGGATCTAAAATTATTTTGCAATAACTCCTTGAACTGAATTGCACTGGGGGCAGAGTAGTCCTGCTTGTCCGTCACGCGATCGCATGTTTACAGTTTGATCACGTACAGTGATTTGAATCAACAACGGATCGTTTTGCGCTACAATAGTACGGTGAATTTAACTGGAAATACAGTAAAATAGGACTCCTCTGCTCCCTGTGGTCCTTGGGGGATATATGCTTGGAAGGACGGGTTTTGTAGTCCCGATGACTTCTGTCGCTAAGATATTAAGCAGTGTCAGAGCTAGCAAAGTTTGGCTGCAAAAAAGTGAGGGGTCAGCATTAAAAGTCACAAACCTCCCTATAGTTTTACGATCGCACGGGCGCTGAGGAGGTAATCTACGCGCGCTCAAAGGTAAACGTCAGTGTTTTTCGATATTTTATTACGTCAACATTAGCACAAAAAAGCAAAACTGACAGTGAATTTTCTCGCGTTTCCTTCGGTGAAATTCCGTTAAATTTGGCAGATTGGTAGTAAATATTTTACTTTAGTCGGAGCTCGTTTTTCAGGGAAATCTATAAGAAAAAACTGCCTTTACAACCCCTACTTTTTTCGTGGTTAAAATTCGTATCCCACTGGAAGCGATGTGATGTAAAAATTTTGGAAGATTTCACCGAAGGAAATTCATGAAAATCACAAATAAAGCCATAAAGACAGTAAAAAACACATTTGTTTGGGCATTTATAATTCAAGACTAAATCYCCAGATTTTAACAGAGATGATAGCAAAATACTATTTAGTCATTGCTTATTACATGTAATAAGTTTGAGAGGACTAGGTGAGAAAGCGAATGCAAAAACAGCATTCAAAACATAACACTTGCCCGCGCAATGCCATAAATGATTACCCTATGGAGACACCTTAAATGCTTGTTTGAACTCACCAGCTTTCCTTCGAAGGTAGGAGAAGCCTTGGCGACAGTCACAAGCAACAGCAAAAGAAGGGATTTCATCTTTGCTTGAAAAAGTTTCAAAAAGGGCAACACTACGCTTCCGATGGATTCGCATACGAGGAGCTACTGCGGCTTTCTGCGACACTGCCAACCTTTTATCAATACACATTATCACGACTTCTTAATTTAGTTCAGTCATACGACTTTCTGGTAAGATGTTAAGATTTGTCAGCTGATATCTCGTGACTCAAAGCATATCAATCGTAATTGGACAATCGAAATCCGGAACTGAGGGAGTCTCAAAGTGATCTGTCAGAACAGTGCCCATAGACTGGAAGTGAATTTCAAAATAAGGTAGCTTTCAGATTGAAAAACCGCGTTCGTTTTCATATTACAGTGCGGCTCTTTGTTGTACAGTTTTTTAGTATGCTCCAGGCTTAGCTTTTTATACGGTGATGCTGCAAACATTGATAACTGATCCTAAATTACGATCATTATGTGCGCCAATGCCAGCATTTTTATTATCTTTAAGGTAGTCCTGTACATAAGCCTTATTAGCTTCCATAGGCTTCCTTGCCTTATACATTGCATAGCTTAGCTTATACATAGCTGTTGATACATTGATATTTCGTAAATATATTTTGAAATGGCAAAACAGTGTAAAAAAAAACACAAACCGCTACGTTCTAAGAATATGACATGCAGAGACTTCAACTGATCTCATAGGATTTGAATAAGATCATTTAAAATCCGTTGTGCCCTGCTTGTAACAAGCAACAAATTCTCGCTAACTGTGCTCCTCTTCGCCGGCGCTATTCAAGTTGTACGACATAGAACTACCAAATTCCATCATACGGTCTAATAGAGGAAAGGCGCTTTCGACGAGTGCACTGAAAACGAAACTATTTCCAGCGCTAGCATCCACAGGGTTCCAGAAACACCCCGATCCTCGTTTTCCAATAACACTTTAACTCGTGAAGGCATCGTGCACGCAATCATGTTATTATCTGTGACAAACAACAGATATCTTAAGGAAAGCACGTACATTTCTAAGAAAACCTTACCCTTGTGACCTCGCGGTAAAA